CGAAAAAGCGGTGGGTTTTTCGAGAAGTTGTTGATTGTGTAATTACCGGAGAGTTCTTCGTCTTTTTGTAAGTGTTATTGAAGCGTTTGGCCTAGTAGATTGTATATCAGTATACCCTTCCAGGCTCTGAAGAAGGCGATACTGCCGAAACGTCAGCTAGCGTTGTATTGTATTGTGTTTTTATGGAAGTAAATGTATGCTGTTTAAAAACCTCGCGATTGCTGAGCAAGAAAACGACACATTGTCATTATATATCCACCATCAGCATCGTGTATAAAAGGGCATCACTGAGTGAGGATGCCTCATTCGAGAAGATGGCTCACTGAAGAAGATCTGGCTCGACACGAAGGCGAAGACGCAACGTCGAGGCGAACAACAAGCAGGGACCATCGACTCGGATCACCGGCTCTGAGGAAGACGAAGACGTCGAAACGTTAGCCGAAAATAAATATATTTATCAACCTCGTGTAAGCTTATCAAGAAAGAATACATAACTGATAATCAATGAAATCCCCGTACTCCTATATCAATCTTCCTTGATTGGAGCAATCGAAAGCTTGGTGAGCCCCGAGCGTGGGATCAGACGTATAGCGGGATACCGCTAACCATTGTGCCACAAGTCCTTTTCGCCTTTAACGTGTTGTTGTTAGAATCATAAAGAATACACGCTAGCAATTAACTCTGCATTTGGTATGAACGTAAATCCAGTGAGCAAGAAATAATTCGTTCTCAGTAACCATTCTAGGATTTCATGAAGAGAACACAGAGTTTTCCACGACCGACTTTCTACTCACCTCTGCATTGGTCGAACAATACGGGTTTTTTCGAGGCTTTATTTTGTTTCTTTATTTACGCACAAAATGAGATTTCGGCGGATTTCGCCTTCTTCAGAACCAAAAATTAGAACAGAAAATCTTGCTTGGAAAGCCGTGTGATGTGATAGTTTTTCCGTCAACATAAAGAAAACAACGAAGAGGACAGTGCAAAAAACGTTAGTAAGGACACGAAACCGGTAGATACGTCAGTCAAAGCTAACTATTTTACATTCAGAACATAAATAAACCAACGACACGCATTCTCCAGACTCTCTCACCCGCTATCGTGTCCTCCTCTACCACCACTAGACCCTCCACGACCGCCTTCACAGCCTCCTCTCCTGCCACTGCTGAACCCACCGCGGCCGAACCAAAATCCACCTCGAAGACAATAGCCTCCACGTCCGCCCCCGCGACCACCACCATCTAAAAAAAGACAATTTTCGTTCTTAAAATTATTAGCACTAGAAGCAAAATTTCATGGCAATCAAAACATTACCTTTCGTCATGATGTGGCCATTAGGAATGTTATCACCGCATAGCTGGCCACTGTACTAAAAAAAATTTCGTGAAAGGAATGGAAATTTGAATGTGTTTCTGTGCTAAAGAGTGAAGAGCTATTCTCCTTCTGAAGAAACTGAAAAATGATGCAGTAACCGAAGCGAGTACAGAATCATAAAAGAGGGAATCACTCGAAGACATCCACAAACCTGAGAATCTGTTTGAGCGCATGAATCTTCGGTGGCCGCATTCGTATTAGAGCCTGCGTATAAACATTGTAATGACGAATATCACCACGTAAAATACTTCCATCAACTTGTAGAGAATTGGAAAAACGTTAACAACAATAAGAAAACCTCACTCATTGTAAAATTCAATACTTGCGGAATCACAACAAGGGCTCGTTACTGAAAAACTAAAACTGTTATTCGTTTAAATTGATTTCAAACCAGTATAGGGGCTTTGTTCAAGGCATCAAAACAAATACAAAAGTTGGTGACAGATTTATGACAACAATCTGGTAATGCAATAAAATAAGATCGTACACGATAGAATGATATGGCAAGATAGTGTAATGATGTAATCAATGACTGAAAGTGCAAGCGCACTCACGTTATGACGCAACTAGCTGGAGAATGGGAAGTCCGGTTCGCTTCCAGGTTCGAATCCCGACATCTGTGTGTCAAATCATTTTAAGTGAAGAGTTTATAGTCGAGTCCTGTGCAACAACGAAATGAAATTATTTCCGAATCACATCATGAGGATTAGAAACGATCATATCTGTATCAAAAAAAGAACTACGTGGACCTTAATAATATACATGCCAAGGTGGAAAAGCAGATGACCTGCACAGCTTGATGCGCTTTAATCACAATTTGGATAGCAGCCTTTAGCGACTGAGTTTTACAACAAATCAGATCCACAGCAGGAAGATTAATTCAAAAAATAAAAAACGAGAAATAACTATACGTAGCAATAAAACAGAGTTGTCAGTAGGGTAATGAAAGAAAAAACTAGAAGTAGACATAAGTCCTGTAGAGCGGTTAACTCGAGAATTATCACACTTTAACTACAATGATGCTGAGACATTTGCAAAACTCCGGAAGGCAGGTGTGCGTGATGGGGATCAAACTCACCATTACCCTTTCCAGGAACTAACGCATCCACCTTCACACTATGTTGGTCCTTCGTTTCGCCTGTCCCTCAGCCATAACTAAATACAATGTACGATAACGCACTCTATTTGGGTAAACATGGTAGATTGCTCACAACGGCATTCAACGAGACTCAACGATAACAAAGTTCTCATGTAGCACCTAACCGACACATGAATCTGTGGATCTCTATGGCTGACGACTGTACGAGACTAAACCAAAAGAGCAAAGTGCTGGAATCGCGACATTATATCAAGAAGGGTCCTATAAATAAACAAAATGGAAATTGCAGGACCGACTTCCTTTTAACCTCGACAAAGATCAATAACACGCTGTTTTATTGTGGAGCAAACAAGACGTTGTTAACAGCAGGACTTATTCAGTACAACACTTGCTGACGCTTTGGCGGTTCTTCCTTCTTCAGAGCTCTGAAAAATCGACATGCAATACATTTGGTAAAATACTATCGCAGCCTTAGCAGACTACACCTAATACATAAACAATTATTCGCATACGCTGCTTATAAGAGGGACGGTTTAGAAAAGTCGGTACAAGCGATTAAAAAACCACCGAACTCTCTAAAACACCAGATAGTTCGAAATCGTTGTTTCCACGACCGTCTATGCAAAACGCGGAACTGCATACTTTGCCCAAACGGGAGAGATGGAGAATAGATGAGGTCGAATAAAGTATACCCTATCTCTTATAAAGCATGTGGGGATTAATAAGTTTGAAAACGGGTACACCGCTCCGCATCCATGTAAAAGAGCACATAGACAACGGGGAAATACACGTGGAATCGAACCCGTGCCTCTGACCCACCTAGCCTTGCATCACTTCAGGGTCGGAAAATTGGTACCAGACTTGTCTGGAAGGATAGCATCATTGGCTGGATACATCGGTGGGCCACCGTAAGCCATGTTAAAGGCCAGATATGCATCAAATCACCTCCATCGACACTTGATGAAGTCGAATTGGGGCATCTCTCAGGGATTGATTACCGCCAAGCGCTTTATCCTTTACCCTTTAATTATGCTGACATGAAAAGAAAGTTATCAATATATAATGCTGAGATATTTGCAAAACTCCGGACCGCAGGTGTATGCGGTGGGGAACGGACGCGCGCTATTGTCCTTACCGGGGAGTAGCGCACTTCACCGCCACACCATCTGCGTCCTTCAATCCCGTTGACGGGTGATTGCTGATGGCAAAAAGACCGATAGAACTAGCTGAGAGACACGCAGAACGAAGGACCAGGATAGTGTAGTGGAGAAGTGCGTTGCTCCCCGGTAAAGACAAAAGCGCGTGTTCGTCCCCACCGCATACACCTGTGGTCCGGAGTTTTGCAAATATCTCAGCATTATATCCGAGTTATATTTCGCAACATACCCTGCCATTAAAAAAAGGCAGTAAATAAAAGGGTTAAGAAGGCCATCAGTTTTTAAAATATTGATTCGCTATGTGCCAGACCCTCCAACGGTTTACTGCCTCATAGTGGCTAGGAGGTGTTCCTATGTGTTGGGCTGCGATGTACAGCGAGGCCATTGATCCCCCGGTAGGATCACTCAAGCCGAGGAGTCCGAAGTTTCCATCAGAAAGCCTAACTAAGAATATGTTAATACGAAGATCCGTCACCGTCTTGGTAGCAAACAAGTCGCATGGTGGCAAATCCCCGCCTGATCCACAGGGACGGCGACTGCCTGTGGCGGTGACGACCTGGGACAGACTTTGGCCAGGCTGTCTTCGGGACGCCAGGGAAGCACAATAGCTAGCCGAGAAAAACTCCGAAAACGTGGAAAACATGCTGGAGCCTGCACAGCCAGTGAGGGCGGGTCACCTAAGTATCTAAGTGGTATGTGCCAACTGGCGGTTGAAGGCGCAGTGGTTAATGATGCGGTTGATCAAGAAGCGCTAGTTGGACCCACTTCCCCAACGCTCTCTCCCAATCCATGTAGGGAGGCCTTAGCTTTCGTATCCAAAAGGTTGCCAGGAGAATCGATTTGACCGGCATTCTACAACACTCATGAGGAGGAGTAACTCTCAAGCAGCAGCTGAAACAAAATGAGAATTGTTCGAAAACCACTGCGAACGATTAATGCGACGAAACCGAATCGAATGCAAAAAGCACTAGAATTCGTACAGTGGATGTAATGGCAGGCCAAGAGTATATAACGTCGATTTCGGCGCGATACATTGCCGCCAAAAATTCAAGTCATTTTCGTTTGCTGCGATAGATCAACAACCGTCTTATATGAAAAGGCACCTCCGAGTTAAGCTCCCATTCGAGAGGTGCACCCGCTGCTGGATTAGACTCACTCGATGCGGCAACGAACACCGACATCAGAGGATCACCACTTATGGAACATCAAGTCGGATCAATCTGGCTCAGAAGCAGACGAAAATATCGAAACGCTAGCAGAATAGAACTATTTACTAAAACTTCGTGTCGGCTTAGTCGTCTAAGAAAAGTATTTACCGGGGTCTCAGTGAATGCAACAACTTAATTACCGATAATTATCATTTGTCATGTGTGACATATTCACATGCTAGAAAGGCGTAGTGGTATTCTATTCTGCTATTGCATTCGTCAAATGCGGTCGCTCATAGTTTTATGGACGATGTCTTGTCATCTCCACACGATTGTAAGTTTCGATATAAGCCGTCCATGCTTCACAACTTAGTAAATTGTATTATTGCGGTCTCTAAGTAAATATACATTTGTAAGTTTCTTTAGCACATTTATATATATGATCTTATAAATTAATCTTCTTTAGTTGATGCAAGGTTGGTACAGATCTTCGTCGTCGTTGTCGTTGTTGTTGGTGTTGTTGATCGATGCCTGACGTTTCGGCGATTTCTTCCTCAGAGCCTCAGTGCGACACTCGTAACACTCGTAAGGAAGGCGAAATCGCCGAAACATCAGCCATCGACGAACAACACCAACAACAACGACAACGATAACGAAGACCTGTAGAAAGTCAGTCTTTCGAGTTTCTTTAGCACACTTTCAACGCCGCTTAATATTTCGTCGCTCGCTATGAGCAATGATGTTCATTAATGACTCCATCAATGTATTCGTCCTGAGAGAACTGTTGCTCCATCCACGTAATATTTATATTGATAAATGCTTCATTTTGTTATCTATACTGATACTGGGGTACTTGAATGACCCATCTTCACTGGTTGTGCGGGACTAAGCATAACTTGCAATTTTTCGGAGTTTTGCTTGTCTAGCCATTGTGGTTCGCTGGAGCCCTGAGGTCAGCCTAGCTAAAGTCCACCACAGGTCATCATCACCACAAGCAGTCGCCGCTCTTATGGATCAGAAAGAGATTTGCTACCATTCAACTAGTTTGATACCAGGACGGTGGTGGATTCACGTATTGGTTTACACTTAGCTGGGCTTCCTGATGGAAACGCCGGACTGCTTCTCAGGTTGGGAGACCCTGCTGGAGCAATGAATATCCCTGCTATACATTGCAGCGCGATCTCTACGAAGACCTCTTAGCCACAGTGAGGCGGTAAACCGCTAGAAGAGACTTATACTGACAGTAGCATTATTGTATACGCTCGCACTTGAACTGCTATACCTGTTGAATTTCGATAAATAAAACATGAAAACAAAACAGAGCAAAAACAGAAGGAAAGGTGTGCATGGCACATGTTTCCTCTTGACGGACTTTCCAGACTAAAAATTTTTGATTAAAAAGCTATGGGACTTTTCTCTTATGGATTTCTGTAAAAACTTCTGTCACTGTGGAAGGAAATAGCACAAGTGAGCAAATTTTTTGTTTCGTAAGATTTTCCGTAAGCATCGAAATTTTTGTATTGAAAATATATTAGCGATACGTACAGTACACATTCGCGAAAGAAGATTTTTTTCATTTTCGTGTTTCCATAGCGATAGTAAGAAAGCTCATTTCTCTATTTTAGGCTGCAGAGACAGTTCACTGGGTGCCACCAAGACCTGAGATATGGCATGAATCGAACATAACAAGAGCAACAAAAAGGTTTTGGGAATTGGAATGGTCGAAAAGCACATATTTAAAGGAATGTTCAGAGCGTGTACTACAGGTAAGATCTATTAAATTGCTCAACTTGTAGAATTTAATATTTTAAAGCAAATCTATTCCCAATCAATTAACGCTTCCTAGTCCTGAGGGCGTTGCTTGATATAATCAAAAGGGACGTAAAGTTCGCCGTTCTTCCCGTTAGAATGGCCTCCCAAGCTGGGTAAAAGTTCGGCACTTCCATTTGGGAGACCGACTAGAACTAATCTTATGCAAATTTTCCAGCAGAAAAATAAAAATAAAAGGTAAATCTCTCGACGTTGATCAATACATAGGAGATGCACCATGCAGTCGACATCATTAAGCATCGTTAGAGGTGGCTGAATGCATATCTGGCCTATACACGCGATGGCATACCGATGTATTGAGTCAGCACTACTATTCTCCCAGATAGATCTAGTACAAATCTGCCGAACCTGGATGGATGGAAGGCTTGGTGTGTGGGAGACATGGGATCGAATTCTGATGTATTGCAAGGTGCCTCCAACCAATGCGCAGCAAGAGCTTTTCGGCACTACCCAGGAAGAAATCCATTAGCAAAATAGCAGACCTCTCTTCGATTCAGTATTACAAGCGTCTAATTGTGGTAACGACCTAGGAAACATTTTGACAAGGCAATGTCGAAATCAAAGAAAAAGCTGTCTTTCTTGGTTAGAAAAAATAGGTAAAGCAGTCAAATAGAATTATCATTGGGTACCTACTACTAATGACGAGGTACTCGCGAGAGGTATAATTTATAACAACATACCACTCTTCGAAACGAAGTTGAGAAAAAATGATGCATGCTAAGTGTCTCATATTTAATATGACATATCGAAGCATTAGAGGCATATTTTGTCCAGTGGTTAGAGGTGCTCTGTAATACACCCACGGTCGGCATTTCGATGGCTCGCCGCGGTTTTACCTAGCCTTCCTTCCCTCCGGTGTCGGCAAACTGCTACCAGACTAATCTCGGAGGATAGTAGCACTAACCCGATATATTGGAAGCCCACTACGAGACCCTGTATCCATCTCTCAAAAATTAATGCTCTATTAAAATATTCAGAGTGTCTTGCATGCTCTTTTGATCATTTGAAAACGTTTCAAAAAGTAGAAGTGAAACAGCTTTCATTCCCCCTAGAATATGACATTCGACTTCTTCTGTGCGACTTCGTTAGGCATGTGTGACGCAGTTGAGGAAGGATAGTGCAAACCGCAAGAGAAAAACCTACGGGCATGATAATGGCTGTATTTTTCGGCAGAAAACCAAGTGCAAATTGATAAGAAGCATTAGTGAATCATTGAAAAGTGAAGGAAATGGTCTACTACCAGACAATAAGGATTGCCAATATCTGAAGGTGGTGCCTGTTTACTTCTGGCCGGGTGAACGAATTGATTTACCTTGTAAGATGTGTGAATTAACGATGGCATATAATGGAAAAATCAAATACTGGGCTAAAGCGATACAGATGGACGAATTTTTAAAAGCACCACAGGTACGACAAGCTCATTTTATTTATTAATAAGAAAAAGTACATGCTTCTAGATTATACCTATATCCATTACTTTTTAAACTGGCCAAAAACACTTTAAAAAGGGCGCTGTACCAAAATCTGATACTTCCTTTGAGAGAGTCCACTTAATGGTTTTGGTTTCTGACAAAGACAAATGCGTTTATGCCTGCTCAAGCTCCTTCCTAAACAAGATTACATATATGTGTATATATATATATATATATGTATATGTGTATATACTGCTTGCCGACCTTGATAAAGCCTGTGAAAAGATTGGTCTCCGACTAAATCTCACAAAAACGATGTTCATGAGAAACGGATTGGTTTGCACGTCCAATTGACGCTCAATCCTGCGAAAATCTCCAAATATTCCAGCTACGTCTATCTAGGTCGGGAAATCAATATGAAGAACGACTTAGCTCCAGAACTGAGCAGAAGGAAACGTGCAGCGTGGAGAGCTTTCAAGAGCATCGAGGATGTAATGAGGAAAATAAAGAACACCCGACTCCACGATCGCCTTTTCGACTCAACGATACTTCGTGCGTTAACATATGCGTAAGAAACCTGGTCGCTATGAAAAAAACAGGATGAAAAATCACTCAGCGCTATTGAACGCGCAGTCGATGCTAGGAGTGTCTCGTGTCACGCAAGTAAGGGAAGGATCCAAAGCTCCGACTTGCGTCAACGATCAATAATCGAAAATGCCGTTCTATACGCCAGACAGTCGAAGGTAAGGTGGGCCGGGTACGTAATGCTTATGGATGACAACCGATGGACAGGAGCCGTTAGTCACTGGATTCCTCGGGATGTCAAACGCACTACAGGAAGATCACTGACACGATGGTTCGAGTTCTTCACGAAGAGCCTACAAGAAAGATATGATGTTCGATGAGTCCCTAGAGCGAGCAGAACCCATTGGGCTATGCTTGCACCCGGATGGGAAAAGCGTAAGACTTATTGATACCCGCTCGAGTCATTCGACGATCAACGGGACTACAGGTGATACAGGTGACATATATATATATATATATATAT